GATGATAGTGATGTCGACTTATAGATGAGTTATATTGTAAGTATGGACTAGTGTGGTACTCGTGCGATGTACGTGCTAATTTTATTAATGTAAGAATTTAAATTTGGATGATTGGATGATTGTAAGAACGTAAAACCCATGTATTAGAATAAAACAACATGTAACTTGTATATTACTAAACAAATCCTTGCACACAATATTATTTGTTTGGTCTTTTGGTACATAATCTAGCGCCACAATTATATTAGAATAAAACAACATGTAACTTATATAATATTAAACAAATCCTTGTACACAATATTATTTGTTTGGACTTTTGGTACATAATCTATCGCCACAATTATATTAGGATTCTAGATAGACTTAAATAAACCAATTAAATTATTTAGATGATATATATTATATGATTTATACTGATTTTATGAAGAATGTATAGTCAAATATAACGAAGATTGTAAAACGTCTTTCTTGATAATTTATATATTTATTATTTTAAAATTAAAAATTACTTAATTTAAGGAAGGGAAAATTGTTTAAGTCTATGCAATTCCAATTCAATTTAATTTTGAAATTTCAAATTAATATTATCTGACTTTGTTTTATGCTTAAAAAAATACAACCTAAAGAAATAGTAGCCAAATGATAAGAGATTTTTAAATTGTAATCTTTAATTTAGAATTGGGTCTGATTTCTATGGAATTCGTTTTTTTATTTTAATAAACATGATTTGTTGCAATTAGGTAAAGATACATGTTATAGTATTTTGCCTAATTCGAAATTTATGATTAACATTTTTTATAAAAAATCGAGAATGTTGACTTTTACAAAATTGTCGTGCCGAAATTTTACCAAATTAACCCGATTTCTATGAAATCTATTTTTTTTTAAATAAACAATTGATCTGTTGCAATTAGGATATGTGATAGTATTTTGCCTAATTTGAAATTCTCGATTTTATGGTAATCATTATATATATATATAATGAGAAATAATTTTGACTTTTGCAAAATTGTATGCATCAATCGAAATTTACCTATATTAAATCCACAAAACCCATGAATTTAGGGTACATATATAGCTGAATGATTTTTTGGGAATATATTAAAAAAAATCAAAACCTACTAAAAATATAATGCAATAAATGTTGATTGACTTTTTTTGTTTCCGTTTTTTGTAAATAGGTTCTCTCTTTATATATATATATATATATATATTAGGTATAGATTGAAAAAATTATAAACATACACCCCCTTAATATTCAATTCATTGCTCTCCAAGACTTTTATTTTTTTCAAAGGGTTACAAATTTTATAACTAAAATAATTACAATCTAGAGATAACCAAAAGCAATCGAATCGAACAACCAAAAGATGAACCTAGTAATAGGACAACCTAGAAGGAAGCCTAAATTACCACAACGCACACACGACAATAAAATACTACCAACAAGAGAAAAATACTCACTCCAAAAGAATCGAAATCACTCCGAACCAAAAAAAAATAGTCATTGACCATTTGAATTTTTGTGAATCGAAGCGAACCGAAAAAAATAATTAGTACGGTTCTAGAGATTTCACAAATATTTGTTTCGAGAAACGAACCGAACTGTCCAACACTATACGGAAGCGAAAAACCAAATTAAGATTCGAATTATAACATTAGATGTATGTTATAAATATATTTATGTCAACTTTGATCCTATATAATTTGAGAATTTTTAAAATTCAAATAAAATATAGTAATAACAATTAAGCTTCACTTAAATTTCATTCTTAGTAATACTTGATCTACAATTAAATTATTCTATGTTTTAAAAAATTATTTAAAATTGTGAAATGTTAAAGAAATATATAATGTAAACTGTACTTATATTTGTCAATATATTTCTTAGTCTTATTATATCTTATAAATAAAATGGTACGAAAGATTAAGAAATTTTATTAAAAAACTATATTATATTTTGTTTGAATATAAATTTTTTAATGTTAGTTGCAGAAATTTAGTCAGGGTTACTTGTAAAGTTTATTTCAAAATAAAATATTCAATATCACGAAGTATTGATGAATGTTGGATTTTTTTATTTTTTTTTAAAAAAGCATATCAAAATTAAAATATAACTAGGTAGTCATTCAAAAAAACTTACAAAATAATTAGAAATCTCTGAAGCTACGAACCGAACCATTCTGATAGACCCGAATACCAGACCGAACCAAAAAAACAAAAATCTCTGAACTAAACCGTCCCAATTTTTTTGGTACGGTTCCAGATTGAATTCCAGTAATCTCTGAATTTCAGTGCGGTTCCTAAGTATTGTCAATCTTTTAACACTATCGACTCATGTTCACCCCTAGCCGCAACCACCAGACCACCGTCGGTGCCGTCGAATCGCAGTGCCCAACGCAACCCCACAGCGTCGCGCGACGCACGCCATCGCAGCCCCCACGCGACGCATGCCCACAGACGCGTCACAAGGACATTACGCCAGCCGCAACCCGCGACATGCACGCATGTGCACGAAGCCACACGCGGACAACGCCAGCGCACACATAGTTAGCATCGTGAGGCATACACACACACCGACGCAATGCGCACACCCTCGGAGACTTTCTACGATTCCAACACGCACGACCAGGGATCCCGACGATGCGACCCGTAGGCTAGACGAAAAACAACAAGGAACGTGGAATCTCAAAACCATTCATCTAGCCCCATAAGTTGTGTACGTCGTCTCAGGGTTGACAATTTTTTTAAATAGTAAGTCCTCATTCTAACTATAGATTCTGTTGTGTTAAAATTTATTTTAATAGATTTGGATATTCATATCGACGACGTTCCTCATAGAACTCACCAACTAGTATTAGAGTACATGTTTAATTCGTATTTGTGCACTATTTGAATTAAGACTTTTGTGGCATATGTGAATTAATTGTGTATGGGCGCAACACATAGTAGATTATTAATAAGAAAAGTCACACATATACTTCACCTAACAAGACATCTAGATAAAAGCCATCGCCTTCAAGGCTGCATGTTGGCTTTGTGAAGAAGTCCTAAATATGACCCTAGCATAATAACAAAAATCCAGGATTCTGAACATGTCCACTTTCTCCATGGATGATGCCTCGCTGACTGTTTCCGTCAATTGTGCCGGAATATATCTAGCTATGTCCGTTGCTGGTCGCTTGCTTCCCAATGTCTGAGTGGTTCGGATGACAATGAAGTCAAACTTCTTCTCCTCATAGACTCTCACTTCTGTGGAGCCTGTAAAACGGCGCGCGTGGACACGATGGGTTTCAGCCCAAGAGACATCAGCTTGTTTTCTCCCACCAGGGAGAAGAAGTTGCCAATCGTCGGCATCGACAGGGCCGAGTATTGGCGTAATGGCCTCTCCAATGATGTAAGCAGCAATAAGGTCCTCCTTGTTGAAGTTGGATTTATCGGGAAAC